TGAGCAGGGCCAGTTGTGAGCATTTGCTTCTATTCCAAGGGAAAAATGGCCCAGTCAGTCACTGAGAGTTTGACTCCTTAAAGAGCTTTACCATTTCTTCACAGTTGTTTGTTCTGAGAATACAGATAGACCAAGAAAATCTGAAACCCTACAGAAGCATTTCTTTCACAATGAGCCACTACACTGAAGCATACAGTATTTGACAGCCTTTTGTGAGTAGCAGAGTCCATGGATTTTTTTTTTTTCTCTCCAGCAGTGATATCCTTTCACCTCATTATAAAATATAACCTGTCATAGCTAAATTGAGGAGTTTTTCAACAGGGCTGGAAAACTCATTTTTAATTACTGTATAGGAGAATGCTTCTGAATTATCCACTGTGCAGTAAAAGGCTGAAAGGCAATCTGACCACTGCAAGAAACAGACATTCCTTGATAAAGAAGCCATGTTGTTGGGTTTTTAGTTTCTCAGGTGATGGTGCTTTGATACTGATGGCTTTGAAATCCATATAAGATGAGGAAGAAAAAGAAGCACTTTCATAAGCCTCGTGGTATTATGTGCACACTTAACTGTCTGTGCATGAATTGGTTTAAGGATTTTATTGGGTTACCAGTCTTAGATTATAAACATCTAGATGTGCACTCTAAGAAAATTTCTAGCAGAAGTTTCCTTTATGCTAGCTTACTGTGTTGGTTACTATTGAAGTTTTGATAGATTTGCTTCCAAATTCAGGCTCAGCCACTAAGTAGTGGCTGACCTCAGCAATTACTAGGTCTCTCTAACCTTTGGTTATCTTATCCACAAAAGGGAGGGATCATCATGCCTACATGATATGATGCTGAGGTTAAATGAGATAATGATCATAAGGAGTTTGGCAAAGTGCTCAGTGCATTATAACCACTCAATAAAATGGTAGCTATTATTACTAGAAACATTTTACATTGAATTTCTGATAGTCTTGGCTGAGGATAAAAGTTACATTTCAAAGCCAGCCTAAGTATTAGAAAGAAGTGTCCCTTTTTTACAGGTGGGCATAGAGAAAAATATCTCAGGTGTATATCTCTAAGTTACAGAAACAAGACAGGAGCCAAACCAATAGACCTTTGGCTTGGACATCTGTCACAATGACTCCTATTTCAATTAATCTCCTCTCAAAGATATTATTTTGATTCTACAGATTAGTCAGTCACTCAAGCTATTTCTCCAAAAGAAGTTTCCAGTGGGCAAATAACTCTGTACAATACCACATACAACAGAATGCTTCATGAAGTCATGTAGTAAAGAAACTGTTTACTTTGATTGAGATTCCCCGAACCTATCTGATAATGCAACTCTTTTTATTACATCCATTGGCTATTGCTGCCCTGATAATTCATTCGGTACTCTTACATGCCAGCCACAGTGTCAAGCATTTTACATGTATTAATTCATCCAATCATGATAACAAGACTATGAAATTGGCATCATTATTATTTCCATGTTACTTACTCAAGATTACTCAGTCACTAAGTGATAGCCGAATTCAAATCCCAGTATTCTAACACGAGTCACATTCTGAACTTTACATTTCTTCTTTGGATGTGATATGAGACCTGCTATGTGTATAAGCTATGATGCAAATAGCAGAAATCCCTGTCAAAACTAATTTAAAGAATGGAGGGAATTTATAGTCTCACTTAACTAAAAAAGCAGTGTGAGCTCCAAGTACCAGGTGCATATATAATTTCATTCCCTGAAGTTCACTCATCTCTGACCTCCTCCTTGTGTCCGCTTCATCCTGGAGCCAGCTCCCCTCATGACAGTCTCTCCCAGGTAGTCCTCGTTTACCTCCAAAGAGAAGAGAAAGTTTCTTTTCCTCAAATATCAGATAAAATTGTCAGCCTCTTCTGATTGTCGTATGCCCAACTTGGACCATTCGCTATGGCCACAGAAATGTGATGTGCTGACTGTTTTAGGCATGTTTATCCTTAAGTGAATTACGAAATGGACTGACTTAGGCAGGTCAGGGTCCATTTCTGAAGTTGAGAGTAAGGCCAATTCTAGGAAAACTGCATTAACAGGGAAAGGGGGTTCTTTTCAGGGGGAGAAAAGGAGAAATGGAGTCCTATAGATGATACTTTGAATAACAGAATTCCCATTCAGATCTGAGGTAAATGTTCTGTGGAATATACTTTCAAAAATACCACTTTAAGTTTTTCTTATTCCTATATTGGCTGGTGGCTTATAGCTAAGTGGGAAAAAAGGTCATCGCAGAACCGAAGTCAATGAAGAACATTTATCTAAGCCTTGACGTACCCCTGACAATTATGGTCCTTCTTCTGTTGGTCCTGATGGTGCCTAGATCAGAAATAGACTACAAAATGATTCTGACAATTTTTATTTGAAAACCAGAAGTGTCTCTGCAATCTATTTATTATTTTTATGTAAAAATACCTAAGTATATTCTCTATATTTAAAAAAAACCAAAGATATGGACACGGAGACAGTAGAAGTCACCTTCCCCTTGCTCACTCTTTCCATTCTCCCTCCCAGAAGTCATTGATTTGGTATAAATATTGCTAAACTTTACAAACATATAGACATATAAAAATATACCTTTTGTGACATAAATGGGAACATGCTGTTCTTTTTTTTTTCATTCAAATATACATCCAAAGAACTTTCCATCAGGACAAACGGATCTTCTCCATTCTTTTTAATGTGCAGGATGTCACAGTGTGCATGATCTGTCATTTAAGTTTTCCCAGTTGTTCATTGATAGATATTTAAGGGTTTCTAATACTTCACTGTCTAAAAAAAAAAAAAAAGCTCAACCTCAAATGACCGTCCCTGCACATGCTACTCTGTGCACATGTGGAATTTTTTCTCTAAGGTAACAACCCACCAGTGAAATTGCTTGGTTAAAGGGGTTTGAGCACTTTAAATTTTGATAGAATTTACCAAATTGCCCTCCAAAAAGACTGTTCCAATTTATACTCCCACCAACAGCGTCTGAGAGTACCTGTTTCCCCACTGGATATTAGTAGTCTTTTTGCATTCAATTTCAAAGAGTAATCAACAGGACTCCAGTTAACTCTGTGATGAAAGTGGCTCCCTAAGAGCTTTAAGAATGTATCATTAGACACGAAAGAAAACAATTATTTGGTGTGACCTCACTCTGTGCTTGGTATAATAATAATAATAATATAAAAAACCTCTTGATTGAATAGCTACTTACCTTTTACTTTAAAGACATTAACTACCTGCCTTACAGTGTTTTTAGGAGGTCAATAAAGGTCATTCATCCCCATTTTGCAGATGCAAATTTTAAAGCATTAAAAAAGCAAGTAAAAAATTTCCATCAGGGGCCGGGCGCGGTGGCTCACGCCTGTAATCCTAGCTCTCTGGGAGGCCGAGGCGGGCGGATTGCTCGAGGTCAGGAGTTCGAAACCAGCCTGAGCAAGAGCGAGACCCCGTCTCTACCATAAATAGAAAGAAATTAATTGGCCAACTAATATATACAAAAAATTAGCCGGGCATGGTGGCACATGCCTGTAGTCCCAGCTACTTGGGAGGCTGAGGCAGGAGGATCCCTTGAGCCCAGTAGTTTGAGGTTGCTGTGAGCTAGGCTGACGCCACGGCACTCACTCTAAAAAAAAAAAAAAAAAAAAAAAAAAAAAAAAAAAAAAAAAAAAAAATTTCCATCAGGCTGCACAAAAGAATAGAAAATAAGAATATAGTTCTTTTGAGTCCCTACTTCTTCAGTTTCTGGTGGTAAGGCAGCCTCTCAAATCTAGAAACAAAACTCGGATGTATTCTCCTTTGCAGACAGCCAAAGACCAGCTACTTGCATTAGAAACATATTTCTGCTTTCACTTATACTTCAAGCTGAAATACAGCAAAGTGCAAGCCAGTGAAACTTCAAATTTAGTTTCTGAACATGTGGTGGCCTTTGCTCCCTCCAGTAAAGGTTTCTGGTGTTCTTTCATTGGCTGACCCTGCAGATCTAAAAGGATATGAACAAAAAATAAGGTGTCATCTGCAGAATTCAATATTTACTTCTTTCTCTGCTCCTAGGTAGTGATGGAAGAATTCAAGGACTTGTGAACTTGAAATCTCTATACAGTAGGTGGCAGAAACATTGGCAACTTACTTAGGGCACTTTTGGGATCAACACTTTGAGCTCAGTCCCAGATATATGTCCCAGAGGGAAGCCATATGGACTTTAATGCACATCTTATTCCCTTGCAGAGAAGTTACAACTTCCCCAAACATACTTGTTCATAGTCAGCATAAATGAAATCTCCAGATTGATGACAGCTGACCAAGGGAAGGCAAGAACACCCCTTCACATGTGGGAGTGAGCTACTTGTGCTCTTTGAGATAAATACATTTTTCTGAATACTTGATTGTTTTTTATCTTTCATTCTCAGGTCAACAAATTGTAATGGCATCAATACAAATAGAAAGCAGTCTGAATGCTTGTGACAAAGTGGCTTTCCAGACAAGAAATGAATTTTTTCTTAAAGTAGTAATGCTTAGCTAGAGCAAGAGAAAATGTCAGTAACCTTATCTTTCTGCAAAGACTTTCCATTTCTCTCCTTCCTACTTCAGGACTTTGACTTTGAGGCACAATCCTGTTCTACATCTACCCAGGCTCCATCAGCATCCAGTATTCCCTGTCTAAAGCTTTGACACATTTGTCACAACAGCTAAGGTTGAGGAAAGGAGTTGAAACAAGTTCACAAAGCTTGTTATGACTCACATGGCCCCTGTGTAGTCCCCTTAACATCCTTTGTTCCCCATCCTTCCAATAAAACATGAGCACCAGCCGTTTCCCCTTACACAGTGTGAGGCAGAAAGGCAGAAGCCTTTGAGCTCCCATTCCAGGCTACAGATCATTAGAGCAGATGATATTGTTCTGTACATCAAACCTTTCATGCCAACTTCTAAATGAGGGAGAAGGACTGACGCGATGACAATGATCTATCAGTACCCCTTTCAATAAAGATGCCCCTTTTAATGAAGATTCCCCTTTTAATAAAATTTAAAGAAAATTTTTAAGGCCTTAAGACCACGTGGCGAGGGGTTCTGGGGTATAGGTGACCAGAAAACACAAGGTGGGGCAGAGAATAGGGACAATAAAGGATACACATTTGCCTTCCTGGGCATGCAATCCTGCTGCTTTGTCTCCCGCTAAGAATTACAGATCTGTGGCTCTTTAGAAGTCATCAGATAATTCCAACTGTTTTCTAAAGTTCAAATATCACAGACTGATGGGCCCTGATGGAGACATCTGTGGTTGGATGTGTCTGTAAGACAAAAGTATAATGACAACTTATATTTTCAGAGAATCTTTGTCTCAAAGCTCAAGGCATTTTGTAGATTTGATCTAATTATTCCTCTCCAACATTGATGGCATGTAGGAAGTAAGTAGGAGACAGGTTAGTGAGCATTATGGGGTAAAGATATAAATACCACTATTATTATTGTTTGCCTAGGGAAAATAAAACATAGGATGTTTATAAAAGTGCTCTAAGGCAAGCATTTTTAAACTTCTTAGCTGCTCTACTTTTTTATTCAAATAAAAACTGATACTGAACACTAACACAAAAAATGAAAACAAACTCCTCTCAGAAAAAAATAAATAGGCCAGGCGCTGTGGCTCACGCCTGTAATCCTAGCTCTTGGGAGGCCGAGGCGGGCGGATTGCTCAAGGTCAGGAGTTCAAAACCAGCCTGAGCAAGAGCGAGACCCCGTCTCTACTATAAATAGAAAGAAATTAATTGGCCAACTGATATATATATATAAAAAAAATTAGCCGGGCATGGTGGCGCATGCCTGTAGTCCCAGCTACTTGGGAGGCTGAGGCAGGAGGATCACTCGAGCCCAGGAGTTTGAGGTTGCTGTGAGCTAGGCTGACGCCACGGCATCAAGGTTTGGGGCAAAGCAAATTATAGATGCAAAAAAAAAAAAAAAAAAAAAAAAAAAAAAAAAAAAAAAATAAATAAATGCCAAACAGCCTTCAATGGAACTGTCTCTGGGTCCTACCTGTCTAACTTTTTAATCTACTTAACCTTGCTTATCCTTAAAACGCCATAGAAAACAGAATTTAAAAGAACACTTTTTCAAATGAGGCAACAAAAAAAGTACCAATAACTACTCTCCCAAATTCTATGCCAAGCACACAATGCAACCTGCCAAGAATGACAGCCAGCCAGCTCCTGTTGTTTGTTACAAATGCACAGTGTATCTTCAGAGACCATCATAAGGTACAACATAGCAGATCCCTGATGCACCTGTTCTCTGGTGCAGTGTTGCTGTACAGACTCCAGGCTGCTCCCTGGTCAGACCAGAGATCTGTGGTGGCATTGGGAGCCCCCTCACAGCTTGGGTGGCAGTGCCTGCTGGAGGAGCACGGAGCAACGGGCTGTTTCCTCCTGTCCTTTCTCATGTATGTTTGCCTCCCCCAGTACTTTATGATCTTGCGGAATGAATCACTCTGTCACCTTCTCCTTCATTCTGAATGTCCCCCATCATTTCTCCAGTGTTTTACAATACTCTTTCCAAGAATACCCATCTGTGGGGTGGCTTCCACCTGTAACTTTTGATCCTATCCTTGAGAGTAGTGGGCACAGGCTGCTTCTAGCCTGTCATCTTGCCCTTCCCTCCTCCCCTACCCTGATCATCTTCTCAATAGATTCCCCTTTGGGGAAAAATTGTTATTGTTATTGAGAAGCATTTTAATAACTGCATGATATAATTACATCTGTCAACCACAAAATTATGACTCTGGTTATCCCAGGCATCCTGAGAACACAGACGGACCTTATTGGCATGACTTATTATTACTATCTCATAATATCATGTTACAGGCTCTACAGAGGCCCAATTTTCCCAGAGTATCCGCAAACACCATTTTTGGACTTTTAGAATTGACAAAGCAGGACTCAACCCCACTTCCTCCCTTCTCAGGATGCTAAGGCAGGGTTGATGGTTGTAGCAAGTATATGTGTGCATTTAAGAAGACGTGAACTAAAAATATGGCCTTAAGTGTCAGTTATGACTAAGCAGAAAATGTCTTTCTGTGACAACTAAGTGATCTGACTTACTAGAACAGATCCCAAGCAATCCATGTCATCTCTTGGTGTCAAACAAAGATTTGTGGCTTAGAATGAAAGTCATGTGATAAAAGTGTGTGAAATTCTGTTGAAAAACAATTCAAGTGTCCTCATGTATTTTTTCCATCCCATATAAGGGAATTATTAGCCATATCTTGCATGTCCTCTCTATCTAATGTGACCACCAAATACGTACGTATAATTAGTAGCCTAGATATAGCTGAAGAGAAAATTAGAGAACTGGAATATAAAAATGAAGAAATTAGCCATTATATAATAGATAGGGAAGGAGAACATAAAAGAGAGAAGAAAATAACTTCAATAGAATAAATAAGAAGATCTAATATATATCTAACCTGTATTAGAAAAGAAAATAATTTAAAAATGGGGAAAATACAATATCTAATGAGAATTTCCCAAAGCTGATTAATGAGAAGAAACTTCCATGCTGTGAATTAAAAGAAATGTGTATTGCTTTTGAAGTTTTAAAATCAAAGATAAAGAGAAAATCCTAAAAGCAACCAGAAGATAAAACAAATTACAAAAAAATGAATGATGAATAGCTAACTTCTTGAACTAAAAATGAAGTAGTAGCAAAATATAGTGAAAACATCTTTAAAGCGCTTAGAGAAAAACTTAATCCAGTTGTATATCCAGTAAAACTTCCTTTGAAAATTGAGGGCAAAATAAAAACATTTATTTTAAATAAAACTAAGAGTTTAGCACCAATATGTTCTCAATAAATACATTTCTAAAAGATCTCCTTCAGTAAGACCAAGATCTCAGAAGATTGATATGGAGTGCAAGAAGTAATGATAGTAAAGAAAATTGTAACAATTTCAATAGATATTAACAAAAAAGGAATATGTAAAATAATAATAATGTCTAGTTATTTTTTTAATAAAGAGAAAACTGAAATACAAAACAAAATAGCACTTATGTCAGGGGAAGTGTTAGAGATAAAGTGTTCTAAGCTGCTTGTACTATTTTAGAGCAGGGAAAAGATATTAGTTAACTTTAGATCATGCTAAGTATGCCTATTCTAGCATAATTCCTAAAAGTCTATATATAAAGTGCATAACATCTAAGTTTATAGAAAGGCAAAAAAAGAAAAGAGAGATAGAAAATAATTCAATCCAAAAGAATATAAGAAAGGAAACCATAGAAGAAATATATAAAAAGTGAGAAAAATACAAAATAAGATGGTAAAAATAAATCTGTCATCAGTCACAATATGTTAACTATGCTCTTCAGTTAAAAAAATAAGATTGTCAGACTATGGCTTAAAAGTTTATGAGAGTTATGATTAAAACATAAAGACAGAAATATTGAAAGGGGACAATGGAAAAATAATTGTGTGACTATACTATTATAATATGAAATAGATTTAAAGGCAAAAATCTTTGTTAGTAATGAAGAAAGTTGCTATATAACAATATAATGGTCCCTTTGCTAAGAAGATACTGAAGTTCTAAACACTTAGGCATCTAATAACTTGGCTTTGAAACATTTTAAAATGAGCAAAAATTCATGAAAAGAAAAGTTGAGATATAATATAGAAGATCAAAGAATCCAAACACTAGCTCTTTGAAAGACAAGTAAAATTGATAAACTCATAATTTGAGATTATGACAAGAGTTATGAGTGAAACAGAAGACATAATTAGAGATTCAGTAGACATCAGAAAAATAATAAAATATTATAAACCAATTTAACATCATTAAATTTGAAAAATTAAACAACATGGACATATGCCTACAAAAATATACTTCAAAAAAACTAACTCTAGAAGAAATAGAAATGGAATAATCACATAAGCAACTAAAGAAATTGAAACATTTTTCTCAAAAGAACATGCTTAACTTTTTTATAGGAATGACCTGTAGAATATTCAGGGAACAAATAATTTAATCCAACACCAACTCCTCCATAAAAGAGAAAAAGAGAGTTCATTCCCTAAATTATTTTATTTGCTCAGCATAACTACAGTAACAAATTAGATAAAGATAATGTAAAATGTATAAAGAGAAATTATAGGCCAATTCACTTATCATATGAATGCAAAAGTAACTGAACAAAATGTTAGCTATGAAACACATAATACCTTTATATAAAGGGATTTGTTATAGGAAATTGGGAGTATGGAGGCTGAGAAGTCCCTAAATTTATAATTAACAAATGAGAGACCAGGAGAGTCAAGGGTTTAGTTTCTGTCCAAGTCCAAAAGTTTGAGAACCAGGAGAGTTGATGGCATACATTCCAGTCCAAAAGTTGGCAGGCTAGAGACCCCAAAAAGAGTTGAGTTATTCAGTTCCAATCTAAAGGCAGGACAAAACTAGTTCTCACAGTCAGGAAAAAGTAGTTCCCTCTTAATCAGCCTTTGTGTTCTAGTCAGGTCTTCAGTTGGTTGGATGAGCACTCTTCTTTATCGGTCTACCAATTCAAATGTCAATCTTATCTAGAAACACCCTTATAAATACACCCAGAATATATGACCAAATATCTGGGCACCCCTTGGCCCAGTCAAGTTGACACATAAAATTAATCATCACAATAGCAAAACATATAAATATTGTATCTTGTGTACACAATGGAATTCCTTATAGCAGTGAAAATTAGTGAATTCCAGTTACACACACACTATTGAAATCTTACAGATACAATGTTAAGTCAAAAAAACAAGAAGAGTACTACTCAGCCACAAAAAGGAATGAAATAATGTCTTCTGCAGCAACTTGGATGAACTAGAGACCATTATCCTAAGTGAAGTATCTCAGGAATAGAAAAACAAATATAATATGTACCCTCCAATAATTGAGAGCTAATCAATGAGCACACAAGTGCACAAAGAGACATAGGAAATGAAGAAGGGCAGAGGTAGGAAAGAAGAAGGGTTAAAAACTTAGCTATCATGTACAATGAACACTAATCTAGTGATTGGCACACTATAAGCCCCAACTTCAGTATTATAAAATGTATCCATGTAACAAAAATATTTGTACCCTCTTAACATCTTGAAATTTAAAAAAAAAAGAAATCTGCAGATGATACATACTAAAAATGACTACACAATGCATGTTTTAAGGATATTTGCATACAACATAAAGCAACAAAGAAAAACACAAAATGGTATTCATAAAATTCAAGGTAGCGATTATTGTGAAGCAGAGAAGGGACTCAGGGAAATATCT